TGTGTTTAGCATTGACATTCTTGATGTCTGTCACAATGTGAATGTACAGGGTCTGCAAGTGGAGAGATGACAGGGAGTAACACACAGAGGAACACACACCCTGTGCCCAAGCACTGACACGGGGCCCAGCTGATCACCTCTCAGATCATCACTGACTTCCAGCAGGAAAAACAACAGGAAAGCATCCTATGGAGACTCATGCATTTGAAAACCATGCTGAATTCACAGTACAGCAAGGCAGGACCATGAACAGCCTCAAATACTGCTTCAGATTCTGTCCCTGCCTATTCAGGCCTGTTCTGACAGCCAGGTTTTTCACCTGCAGACACAACCAAACTCAGCAGCAGAACTCGGTTATTCGTCCAACACAGAGCTGGAGCCCTGCCTCCAGCACTGACTGCTCAAACACCTGAGCTATTTTAAAGTCTACTTTCCCAACCAAGCAGAGAAGAGCTGCTTATTCCAGCATCACCTCTGGCAAGATTTTTGTCAGCACACCTTACCTTTCGTAGCAGTTTATCGTGGCACCGCAGCAGTTGAAAGAAGAGCTCCAGTAAACTCGTGGGATTTATTAGATTCTTGTTTCTCAACAGGATCAGAGCCTTACAGAAGGTCTGTAAGAGAACCCAAACTTCACATTCCTCTCCAGCTTCTCTGGATTGACAAGCAAACCCCAAGCTCTCAGCTCACACCAAGGGCAGGGTGAGCCCAAGGTGGTCTCACCATGCGCAGGTCGGGGTCCAGGACCGTGTGATGGTAGGAGAGCAGCTCCTTCAGCTGCTGCGGGAAGCCGGCCATGTGCTCGGGGTAGCAGTGGGCAACCTGCAATGGACAGGGCAAGTGAAGGCTCTAGAGTACATCTGCACTTACCTCACCGGCCAGGCAAGGGGCACGCAAAGACCGAGTTTAATTGTTTGTATATCACTAATAGTCACGGAGGCCGGTACCGAGCACGGGCTAACGCGGGGCTCACCTGCGCCAGGAACATCAGCAGCTCGGTCAGCTCCTTACTGGGCTTGTCCGGCTGGAAGGTGAAGATCTCCACATGGGACTGGTAGTGGTGGTACTGCTGCAGGAACTGCACACACAGAGAACAGCGGCAGCTGAACAACACCCGCCCGTATGCCGTGCCCGTCCCGCAGCCCGCCCCAACCGCTCCCCGGTCCGCACCTCTTCGGTGTAGGAGGTGGGGTCGCGCTTGATGAGGTTCTGCAGCTGGGGCAGGTTGCTGGGCAGTTTGTTGCCCTGGCGGCCCGACATGGCTGCGGGCACCGGCACCGGGAGCGCAGCACACGAGGGATCAGCTGGCCGCCGCCATCTTAGCCCGCCCTGGCCGCCGCCATCTTAGCCCGCCCTCTACGGCCGCCGCCGAGGGACAAACCTGTGCGGGAGGCGCGCTCCGTCAGAGCGCTCAGCGGGGAACGGTGGCTGCCGGCCGGCCCCGCTTCCCTCAGGCCAGAGGCGGGACAGCCCCGCGGGGTTAATTAAGCACGGAGAGGGGCACGGCACGGCACGGACCGCAGCTGTCCCCCGCAGCCTCCCGGGCACTTAGCCGCAGCATCTCGGCCTTGCCGCTCCAGCAGAGCGCTGGCTCTCCTCGCCTCCCAGCTACTTGGAGAAAATATGCTTCTCAAGTGGTCACTACACGAGCGACCTTTCGAATGGTCAGCATTAGAAAGGAATTCTCAAAGAGAAAAAAGGGTTGATTCTTATTTAGTCTTTTTTAGGTTTAGCTTTTGATCGAAAGCCTCTTCACTTGCATAATTTACACTTCCTTGAGGCAACTACTTATTTACGCTGTAAAAGAGCTGTCATTCCTTACATTCCAGTTTGCTTAGCAAAAAGTAGTAAATAAATCTCATCCAATACATACTCTTAGGTTCAGCCAGACAATATCAGAACAGCATCAAGGCTTAAACGTGGTACAGTCCAAAACAATTAACACAACCTCCTATTTAAGTTACCCCTCCTGCTCTCACTAAAAGACTTTTCACTCTGTTGGTCAGAATCTCAGAGCCAGCTGCAACCACCTAAGCACATACCTGCTACTGGGTTACCAGTGGCAACCTGAATGGACCTGCTCACATGAGTATGGGCTTTGCTGTACCCCTTAAAGCAAGAACAGCACATCCCCTTCTACATACCTACACAGCCCGCAAAAAAATGCGTTTAGCATCACTTGGAGAGCAAAATAACTGCAAAGGTAAGGGAAAACCTTTTTCTTCCTTTCTTGGACCGGCAGGCCTTCCTTCCCCAAAGGATTTAGTTTACCTTTTATTTATTTACCTTGTCAGCTATTTATTCTGTTCATTAGCATCCAGACCTGTTTAGCCTCTACTTAGAGGCAGCTTTACTTTACTGAGCACTACAGCACAGCCCTTAAATAATCCAGCCAAGGAACCCACTTGACCCTACAGCCTCCATGGGCTAGCCCTATCTCAGTACCCATAGCTCCAAGTTCTGCAAAACCAAAACACCACTACACAGGCTCAATTTAACCTAAAAGCAGAAAAGCAGCTCAGCTTCACACTCAACTGCTCCAACACTGATCAGCCACTGACTGACCACAGCAAAACATTTGCAATTGAAGTGAAGAACAGCCACACTGCTTAAGAAAGGTACAGAGCAAAATAGCTTTATCCACACTCCAAAATAAAGGAGCAAACATTCATTATCTCTGCAACAGCAAGGCTATTATTTGGATTTCTACAAAGACAAATAACAAGGTTAGACAAACCGATTCAGTTTCATTATCAACAAATAGAGAACAAAGAAAAATCCTCTTCCTAAACAACCTTTACTCATTTAATATTAAAAGATGCATGATTCAACAGCCAGCACATAAGTGAAAATTCCCTATAGTGTTTTTAGTGAAAAAAATCCCAATTTTATAGGCCTTTTAACAAAGTTTTTTTACTTAAGAAGCCACAAAACTGAAATACCTATAAGTATTAACATCTAACTCACATACAAAACATACTTATAAAACTAACTTTTATAATTTATATTATTCTTATTCAGTAGATTAACAAAAAGACAAACAAACAAACAACTTTTAGCAAACCAACTACCAAAAAGTTACCCCACAACCACCTTTTGGTACTCCCAAACAGGGAAGTGGGGGCCCTGGCATTTGTACCCCAAGCCTGTTATCTCCTGCACACTGATTGGGCTGATTTCCATTGCTAATTGGGCCAGAAATCCTTAAATTCACCTGGAAAGGCACAGCTGCTTTTTGTCTGGGGGTGGTGGGGTTGTATTAAGGAGTTTACTTGCTGATTTTAAGGAAAAATCTCTCTTTTTGACTTCTGTTGTTTTGTGAGCTAAGGAACGTGTTTTATGTGTATTTGGTTATGTAGCTTCTTTTAAATGAAGACTTTTTAAGAAGTGCTGGTGGTTGTGGCATGGAATAAAAGGTAAGGTTTTTTTTGTTTGCATATTTTTTTGAGGTCCATGTGTATTTAGTAAGTTTCATTTTTTCCTTTCTGAGGATAAGAAGCTGACAGTGTTTTTTATGTTTTATTTAAGTAGTAGAGAAGATAGCTTTAAGACAGCTTCTTTAAGACAGCTTTTGTTTCTATTCAAAGTTTCTAAATATGTGTATGTCTGTTACTGGGATTATAGAGAAGTTTGGCATTTTCCCTTCATTGTTAATGAATTGTTTTCCAGTATGGAATTGCTACCTTTTGTAGGGACTTCTGTGAGAGAGTGTTAGAAGGTTTTCCTTTTGTTACATAGTTGACACATGGGTTTACCATGCTCTAAAAAAAAAAGAAGCACTGAGAACCAACACACTCAAAAGAATGGGTTTTGTTCTCAAGGTAAATTTGGCTCTATTAGAAAGTGAAAAAAAGGGCAAGCTGTTACTGAAGTTGCTCTTAAGGCACTGAGGTATTTCTGTGCCACGTATTTCTATTTTTTTAAATCAATTAAGTAGTAGTTGGGGCTGCAGAATTCATGGGTGGGGTAGAATTGCACATGATGTTAGGCTGGGCATTTGGAGATGGGCAGCTCTTGGCTCTCTTTTGCTCTTGCTGCAGTCAGCCCCAGCTTTTAATCTTATCGAGAGCTGTAGAGTTGGAGTTGTTACAATGTCTAGGAGGTTTAACTTGAACAAGTTTAATGTATTTGATTGCCAACATTTCGTTTAAACTCCATGTCAATTCCTGGCCTTTAGTGGCTGTAGGGAATTTGTCTTCCTTGACTTAGCATTTGTAACAATGTAATTGAAAACAGGGTAATGCTCTTTTCCTAAAAGAAAAAAAAAAAACCACCAAAATCTTTAAATCCAACAGAAATATTTATTTCTAGGCAATGACTCATAAATTATTTGCTGACTTGAGACATAGGATCTGTGTTGTTTTGTTCAAGGGAAAAGAGGGATGTTCCTGTAATGGCTTGAGAAATGCACAGTCACCAGGGAGAGAAGAACAGTCCAGCTGATGGTGCTGATGTGAGGAATTTGTGTGGAAGCAGAGGCTTTTCTGCCTCAGCTCTGCTTGTTGTAGCACTTGTTTGCCTGCAGCACAAATGCTTCTTTCTCTGAGGGGAGGAATTGTCACACATTGTTTCAAGGTCTAACCTAGCACATTTTTAGTAGTAACTGAATAGCAAAGGTTTGTTTGAAATTACAGATTTGCTTCCTAAAAAGTACTCTATTCAGAGGTGATGAAAACTTTGGATCTGTGGATTGCAGTTTCAAGAGTTAATTTAGGTGATGTTTGGATTTTGAGACTCTTATCCTGCACTGATTTGGAATCAAAGGAGCTCAGTGATGCAGAGCTGATTCTAAAATGATAAAGCAGTTCAGCCTCAATCTGTCAAGAGGTTCTTCAAGTGCATGAAAAGATTTCTATTCTGGTGTTTTGGGAGACTTTGCCTGTAAATATAAGCAGTTATTTAGGCAGAGTTTGAATAATTGTCAAAGAGAAAAGAATATTATTGTAGGTTTGGCTTCCTTTTATGCCTTCTTGTTGAATTGAATACAACACACAGCTTGATTGCAGAAAAAAGTTTATTGAATGTTTCGCTAACAAAACTACAATTGTGGGAATAAGGTTTTTGCTGTTTCATCACTCTAAATCTGAACCCTGAACTAGGGTCCTGCTCTAGCAATTTATGTTGCATTCATAGACTTTTTTGAGGTTTTAAATGCAAGATGAGGAACAAGTAAAGAAATTTGAGCCAACTTGATTTTTTGAGCCAATTTGATTTTTCTTTCTTTTCACCACAATAACCAAGAGCAGATGCGGAAGAAGGCAGCAATATCAGTAAAGCAGTGGGGAAAGTGAAATGCCCAGCATCTCCCAGAAGATTTGAGTATTCCTGGCACAGTTGAGGGCTTGGCAACTTTACAAAACACTTCAGGCTAGTGGCATCTTTTGGTCTTTGAATCTGGGAGAACTGGAAGCTTGCAGATGTCCAAGTACTAGAAGGGTCCCACATATTCTCTCAGTTATGGTTTTACAGCTCTCTTCTAGGGGCATAAATGCTGCTAATGTCACCAAAGGCCTGTGTGAAGGTTGTGCAGAGGTCACTTTAGGTAGCTCAGGGAAGGTAGGGCACAGACACCTGCGCTGATGTCTGTGGCAGCCTTGCTGGGGAGAGACATGCAGGAGGCTGAAAAGGACAGCTTCCCCAGAGCTGTAAATCAGTGTAGTTCCCTTGACTTCAGGGGAATGGCTGCCTTATATCTGCTGGGAATCTGCTCTATGGGGTCTGAGACACAGCATGGCTTTGCAGGTACGTGCTAGGAACACTGGAAGGGAGACTGAAAGCCAGGAGCTGCTCTTTGGAAATGGCACAAGTCTGAGGTTGGAAATGGGAAGAGACAAGTTGGGTTAGTGCAGGAGCCAGCATCTGGGGTGCTGCCATCCACGTGCTATGGTGCTCTACATACATTTTGGATAGGAACGGGGGTGCTCCGGGGCTCTGGCACAGCAGAGAGCCTTGCTACTCAGTGAAGCAGGAGTCTGGTGTCAGAGCTGCTGGGACCTGCCTCACCTCCCCGTGGTACAGGAGGGGCACGGGGGAGCTGTAGCATTCGTTCCTGTCGTAGGTGTAGCAGGTTTGAGGTTCCTCGCAGGAGTTGCCCTGCTGGGCCTGGTAGATGACTCCACCCAGATCAATTTCTATGGGTTCACAATTTCTGCAGCTGTAAGACATGGAAAATACAACAAGTGTGAGGAGTTAGGTGAAAAGATGCCTCTGCTGAACCCCCAGTCTTTCTTGCTTATCTGCACGTAGAGCCAGGAGAGTGCTGTGCCCTTTCTAGGTGTTCCAGGGCAACATCTGGCCCTCGAGCATCTTTTAGAGTTGCTGCGGGTTAAGTTTTGGCAAGTGAAGTTAGGAAATAAAACTACTTACAGTTCACTCAAGCGGTAGACAAAAGTGGTCCTGGGTGGAGACAGGGGGTCGGAGATGTTCTCCCGAGCCTTCAGGGGAACTCTGCGAAGGTGGCAAGAGAGTCACTCGCATGGAAACTGCTTATTAAATAGAGTCTGCTCTGTTATGAGCAATTTTAACTCTCATCTTCTTCAGGTTATTCACATTCTGACCCTTCTCCAAATCAAACCCCGGGAACAGGAGAGCTAGGTCCTCTGTACCTTCAAAGGCAACAACCCTCCCTGAGAGGAGTGCAGTAATTGAGCTAAGTGCCACTTGCAAGGTGACAGGGTTGAGAGTGTTATTTTTTGTTAAACTCTGAGCTAGCAGATCCTTGAAGCTGATGGACAAGGATGTTTAATTAGTGGTTCTCCTGTTGTGAGGTCTACAGCACTCCTGCAGCTCTGGGCCTGAAGCTGGTCCTTGTTTCCCAGAGACACACATACTTCTGTTAGGTTTGTGTGAGTGGAGAGGACAGGAAAAAGTCCTGCTCTTGAACTGAGCTCCATCTCATGGGAGACAGTTTAGGCATTAACTGGTAGTTTATCACTTTAGGCCTAAACTGATATTTTAGGCATTAACTATTTTCCCAGGCTTTCTGCAGGTCAGGATGTCAATCCAGTGTCATGGGCCCTAACTGGTTTTAGGTTAGATCAACTTTTGATAGTTCATAATCTACTTCCTCAGCCTATCTTGTGGAGTTATTACTGGTCTGCCTAAAACATGAAAATGTTTTTTGTATCTGAAGGGACAAGCACCAGAGAGGTTCATGTGAGGCAGAAAAAGCACTTATCAAACTGAAATACTCAGGATACCACAGAAAGAAGCCCACATGAAAAGCTGTTGGCTTCATCAGTGCTGGGACATAAGAAACAATGCAAGGAAAACTGGTATAATACTGCATCTCCTGCTCACCATCTCTATGAAATACTTGGCTGCCACTTACATGATGCGGATGTTTCTTTCCAGGACTTCTTCCTCAGGATCTTCTTTGGAGGGGACAAACTTTGAGGTCACTGTTACGCACTGACACTTATTATTGACCAGCACGTACTCCTCATCCTGGGGACTCACTGGATATCCTGCAAGCACAGGATATGCAATCCCAAAATCAATAGCAAAATCCTTGAAAGCTGCTCTAGCAGATAGCCAAGGGGTGAAAATGCCAGCAATGCACCATCACAGCACCTGGATTGGTTTAAGTTGAAGCTGCAGCAGGTACAAGTGAGTCTCTTAGTAAAGATAGGTTCAGCTGTCTTCCTGCTCAGCTCAGTGTGCTGCTGTATGTAGGGATGGTGGTACTGGGAAGGACAAGATTAGGAACCTGGACACTGTGCCTGGTGAAGGACAAACATGCAGGGTAACATGGGAAGAGAGTCCCAGCCACACCTGGTGACTGAAGTGCTCCTTTACTAGGAATTGGTTATGTAAGTCCACTGTCATGCACCAAGACTGCTCCAGCAGTCCAAACCCCAGTTTGGATCTCATCTCTAAATAAATGTCTCTGACCTTGTCAATGTGGCAGATGTGTCAGTTTTCCTAGAGTGGTATCTTGCCCTTCAGGTTCCTGTGGGAACAGCTGCCAAAAAGCACAGGAAGACCCAGCAAGGAGGCAGCCCCTGACGTGGCAGGAAAGGCAGGTGGTCCAGATGATGCTTGTGGTTTGCAGGGAAAACTCCAGTCCTGATTTACCCCTCCAGACTGCTGCTTCTAGCATGCTACTCAATATGAAACTCAGTCAAAGGAGGCTAAAACTTTCCAGGTGTCACTCAGAGGCTTTTGGGATGCTGCTGATGTTGCATCATTCTTGCTACAGCACCTTCAGCCTGCTTAGCAGTACCAGACCCATTTTTGTCATATGGGGATAACTCGTTTTGAACTCATATGGATCTCAGTTATTGCTTGCTCTGCTTGTCCCTTAGTTAGTCATAAAGAAGAAACAGGCTGAAAAAAGCTGGGATAATCATATCTATAAAGGATTTTGGAGTTACTTGCACTTAAAAGCTTTGGTCCTTCCTTCCCTTCTAATATCCTAGTCTCATCTTCTTCCATTTCAGGATTTCTGAGATTGTTACAGGCACTGTGACTGTGAAAAAGGTATGAATACTGTGTAAAATGATGCCTCAGTGACCCTAGAGTTGAACTGCTGGTTACAAATGCTGCTTCTGTGGCCTTTGGCAGCATTATACCTGCTAGATAAGATTGTCTATGGAGTTCCTAGCTTGGGAAGTAAATCACTTTCCTAGCTTGTTCTCTAAGCTTCTTTGCCAACACATCATTCCACATGAGCTCTCCCCTCTGATGCAGAAGCCTCCCAGAAAAGCCTCTCTACTCCGTGGCTCCTTGTCTTGGCCTCTCTTTTGGCTCAAGGGAAGCCTCTGGCTTTTTGTCCATCACACAGGTCTTCCTCTGCTGTCTGTGCTGCATTCCACATAACATTGTGTGCAGCTTTCCACAAACCTTTCATCCAAAGCCAATGTTCAAGTAGGATCCTATTGGCTCTCAGGTTGGCCCAAAACCTCTCAGAGAAGGCTTTAATTCTAAAATTAGATTAACACCATCTTATGCATATGCAGGTTTTTCTGACTGCTCTAAAAATACTGCCCTGATTTAATACCTTGTGTTATGCTCTTGGCTTTGCTGTTGAAGTTACTGGTGCTCCATCAATTTTTCATTTAAGATTACAATGCTAACAAAAAGTGATTTTATCTGCAGTATCTCCATGTGTCACCCAATAAAGTCCCCTTGGGGAGAAGGTATTTCAATGCAAAATTTGCTAATGCTGTTCTAAATGTCCACAGGTTGCATTTCCTGGTACCTTTTCCTTCCCTCCTCAATACTTACTTACCTGGCTAGGTTTTGGATGAAATTTATCATCTTCCAGTATTGCACTGTCCTTTGATACACTGTGTAGCCCAACAGAACTGCCTGGGGTAAGCAATAAGATGCCCTCTTCCAAAAGTTGCAGGAAATGCAGGGATGCAGCTGTCTGTGCCATTGGGATGGTTATCCCTGAACTCTGATCCTGCAGACCAGGTCCATCATGTGCAGCAGGATGGATTCAGATTGTCTAGAGACCTGAGACCCACACTGAGGAGTGTGCTGGGAGGACAGGCTGAGCTCAGTTGAAATCGAGAGTTTCTGAGAAATTCAGTGGAGTTACATGATAAACTACAGTTTGATCAGAATAAGTTGCTGTAGCTGTATAGCAGGATTACCAGGAAGATTTTGGAAGCCTTTAGATCTAGCAGGTAAGATCCCTAGGACTGCAATAAAACAAGCATGCATATTTGCAGTTTATTGCTCCAGAAACCTGACAGAAAAATGCCTAATTATCAAGTCTTAAATTTGGAGCTAGTCATCACTTTATCCTCCAGGCAGCAATTAAAATCCCACTGCTCTGATGCAGAAACACACTGAGGTGTCCAAGCACCACTGAAGCATGGCTGCTTGAGTGAGCTTTGAGGTTTGACTCCTGACTGTTAGACTAATTCAGAATAAATTACGCAAAACCTGCCATTGATGTCTTAATCCAAATTTTCCATTTTTTCATTCCTCACCTACCTGCCACAAGGATGATCCCCAAGGAGATGGCCAAGGCAACACACAGAGTCCAAGTGCTCTTCATCTTGCCTTCCCTTCTTTTGAAGAATGAGTGGAGAGCCTGACTCTGCCTATAAGGGTGTGTGCAAATTGGTTTCCTAAAATAAACAGCCAAGCCAACACTGGAAAATGTGGCTGGGGACTGAAACCAGGTGTGGTAATGCACCAAGACCTCTGGCTTTCGGAGGGGAAGGGAGCAGGGGGTTGCACTTTGATTGTGCTTTTTTCTGTTCTTCACCAACAGGCAACAGAGCTGCTGAGTACAAGGATATCTTGCCATCAGGGCTGGTGGGAGGTAAGAAAGTCCAAGAGTCACAGCTGTGGCACCTAATTTTGAGAAATCAGACTTTAAAATCCCTTGAGTCCTATACCACTTCAGGTTTAAAAATCAAAATCCTGTTTGGACAGCTGTCTGCAAACCTGAATTAAGGGTTGGACCTGACCCAGAGAGCCTGCAGTCAAAGCAGGAAAGGTGACAGGGCAGGGGTGAAAGAGGTACAGCCACTGCAGCTCTGCTCACTGCATTGAGGAGTTGGTCTTCTTGTGAATGGAAGAGGAACTCCATGGGATTTGTGGTTTATGAGAGGCCCTGAACCAGGTGCCAAGAGAACCCTGGGGTGTTGGGCATGCAGATTTTCCTGGAGGAGAGTGGCACTGTAGAGAGCCTGGGATTTTTTTTTTTTTTTGGTCCCAGATTTGGGATCATTTGTGTAACTTCTGAAGAGCAAATGTTGCCTTTAATGGCCAGAGCTGTCTCTGTAGCATTTCCATGTGTCTTGTACAGAAAAAGGCACTTTTTCAGGGAAACCCAAGCTTAGCAAGGACCTGGTTGCTCTTGCTGGGCTTCTTCAAGAGGCTGAACTCTTTTGACAATGCTCCTAAGCATCCTGGCTACTGTGACCTTGCAGGATGTCTCCCTTTTCTAGACCCTGCTGGCTGAGTCCCTAAGGCCAGAACTGTTCCAAGTCCCTGGTTGTGTGCCCTGAGCTTTTTCCTCAAGCACAAAGCCCTCACCCTGCAGCTGCATGATGCAAGGAGCTTTCAGGTTACATCAGCAGTGCTCATGTGCAAGGGGAGCTTGGGACTTGGCAGGGGATGATGGGGGGTCACAGCTAACTCCTTGCAGGGCATTGGGTTCTTCCACAGTTCTTTACAAACCTTGTGCTCTCGTTAGGGATCTGTCTGTAGCAAAGCAAAGATGTGGGGTTGTTTCCTTTCTCCATCCCAGAAGGCATTGCTAACAGTTTTATGCAGCCCTCTCTCTGAGACAGGGGCAAGATGTTCCCTTGTGCCCCATTTTTGGCAGGAAGTAAAAAATTCACCTGGCTCACCAGTGCTGGTAGGGATGGCTGTCTAAAGTACTGTTTGTTTGATCACCCTTTTTTGTAAGAATTTTGCTAGAATTATACAAGAACGGAGGATGCCAGCACCAGGATAGACAACAAGCAAGGCAGGCTGGTGCTGATCTGTTTTGCCCAGCTGCAATAACAAAAAATATGGCACTGGGAACATGCAAGGAGAATATTTTCAAATGTCAGGGCAGAGACTGAGCAGAATTCTAGCTGTGTCTTTCTGTTCACTTTGGTGGTTTTCCTTTGCTGTTGGTGCTCAGCATATCTGGATTTCAGTTGCTAAATCTACACGTGTGTGTGCAGTCCCTTGTTGTGGATATGATGACATGAGAGCTATTTTCAGTCCCTTCAGCCACCTGCATGTCTCTGGGGATTTCTTGCTAGATCTTGAGAGGAAGATTTATGTTCTGTACTGTTATTTTTATGGATTACTGCTGTTTTACTGGATGACTTCTGGAATTTTATCTGGGCGAGCAGGCATTTGGCAATGGGCTGCATTGGGAGCTGGACTCCCAGCCTCCCTGCAGGGCAGAGGCTAGAGGTGGAATAACTGAGAATTGGAAAAGAAATGGGAACCAGCCCTGTGGTTTCAGTCTCAATTCACATAGCCTGTGCTTCCTGCTGCCCTCTGACATGCAGAACCAGGATTTTCCAGCTAAGAAGGTGCCTGAGTGAAGTGGGATGAAATTTTTGTTGCTGTGCTGGGAGAGTTGGACAGCACCAAGGCACAGGACCTCTCTCTCCACACAACACACCATCCATGAGCATTCTGCCCTGTGCTTCTCCTTGCTCCTCCTTTCTCACTTGGAAGCCAACAGAATGGTGCATCTAAACAGACCAGCAGCAGTTCCTGATTGTTGTCTTGGTAGCAGTGGTTCCATGATGCTTACAGCAAACTGGTTTGGCTTGAGCAGCTCCTGGTTGACTGGATCAACTAACTCATGCTGGAGATCATCTCCAGCTTCACCAGAAGTGGCTGATGCTTTCACTAAGTCCTGGAAAAGGTTTGAATAGACACAGATTGTTTCCCGCTCTTGGAAATTAACTTTGGGAGACATGTAAATTCCATTTAAGTCCAAGTGGAAGTTAGTATGCCGATTTTTCAAAGGGCAGACTTGATTAGGACACTTAAGATGGAAACTCTCAAACTCTCAAGGTCAGGGACATGAGAAAGGCCTGGGTTTCTCTAAGTCACAGCTGCAAAAGTTACCTGGAATTTTAGGCTGGCAGGATCTGGCTGCAGAGGTCCCTGCATGGATTCACACAAAAAGCCAGCAGGACTGAGCAGTCACCTGATGAGGCTATTCCTTGTCCCCAAAGACAGTTGTATTTAGTGGTCAAGTATCAAGTGAAGCTTTACACCAAAGTATAGCCAACAAATGTAGTGGATGCTGTCTCCAGACCCAAGTTACTCTTGTTGCTCTTTCTTCTACAGGCCTGTATCCAGCAAGGTGATGGCTGAAAACTGGCAGGGACTGATTTGGAAAAGCGGTCTGAGGCAAAAACTGTGTTTGTGCAAGGAAACTTTGATCCAGAGGTGACTATGTGAAGAGGCTGAGTGTCTCAAAGTCAAAACTGAGACCTGTTTGCCAACAGATTGATCAGGATCCAAATGAATCACCAAAAAGTGAGTAAAGCACCCCACTCTGTTTCAGCTAATTTGAATATCTGTCTGACCTGGGTTTTTTTCTACAAAAGGGTGGACAGGAGCATTTATAAATACACCTGCACCTGTTCTGTGGTGAGAGAAAAGCCCCTGCACTTGTACACGGAACTGCTCTTGCTGGGAAGTGTGCATGCCTGATTTACCAGGCTCTGGGTTTCTCAGCTTGGACTGCACTAACTCCTGTGTCTCATTACTTTGTTCTTGTGGCAGGGCTGCCTGCAGCTCATACAAGCAGATTGCTTCCCTGTGTCTCAGTATTAATGTCATTTTCCCTTGGGAAGGGTGGGAGGCTGGGCTGGTGCTCTGCCATGGCTGACAGACACACAAAAACACAAAGATGACAATGCAGAGGCGTATAAATCCAGACTGCATTAAAAGCCCTCCTAGGGAAGGGTCTCCAGGTGTTGAAATATAAGAATTGCTCCTTTTCTGGGCCGCACGGGATAGAGTCACGAGTGCAGAGGTGATGAAGCAGCAGCTGCCAAGCTGTGCAGCCTGAAGCTGCCTGTATCCCTGTAGAAGTGCGATTCGGTGACGGGAGAGGTCATGTGTAAACCTCGGAGGTGTCCGCGGAGCTTTGAAAATACTTCTTCTTTCCGAGTTTGATCCGGTCGTAGGGAACTGAATACCAAGTTTTGGTTACAAGGGCACAGGTGTCAGGTGTGCTTTTTTCCTCGTTGCCGTAAGATGACCGCACAGACAACAGCTGTACTGGTTGGACTTCCAGAGGAAGAAAACCCCGAGGAGGAAACAAAAGGATTGTTGTTGTTTTTTTTTTCTTCTTTTTTTCCACGTGGCATCACAGCTCGAAACGGCGCCGCCCCGCGGGCTGCCCGGGGCGCTCCCCCGTGTCCCCGGGGCGCTCCCCCTTGTCCCCGGGGCGCTCCCCCCTGTCCCCGGGGCGCTCCCCCCCTGTCCCCGGGGCGCTCCCCCTTGTCCCCGGGGCGCTCCCCCCTGTCCCCGGGGCGCTCCCCCCTGTCCCCGGGGCGCTCCCCCGTGTCCCCGGGGCGTGCCCGCGCTCCGGGGCTGGACGGGAAGGGCCCGGAGCGAGCGGAAGGGACGCAGCGGAAGGGGAAGCGCGGCGGCGGAGCCATGCGGACCCGGCGCGGCACCGTCCTGCGGCCGCGGGCCGAGCCCCCCGAGCCCGCCGATGACCCCGCCGAGGTGCCCGGCGGCCGCGCCGGCCCCGAGGAGCTGGCGGACGATGTGGAGCGCTTCCACGAGGAGCAGTTCCGCGCCGTGATGGCCGCCCTGGACAGCGGCGACGAGGCCGGGGACGAAGAGGAGGAGGAGGAGGAGGTGCTGGGTCTGCAGCTGCCCGAGGACAGCGAGGAGGAGGAGGAGGATGAGGAGGAAGAGACGGAGGAGCGGAATCCTTTTGTGGAGTACAGCGCAGAGGAGGATGATGGAGAAGATGAAGAAGGTGACGAAGATGAGAATGATGTTGAGGATGGAGAAGATGAAGAAGATGAGAATGACGTTGAGGATGGAGAAGAGGAAGGAGGTGAGGAGGATGAGAATGATGTTGAGGATGAAGAGGGGGTCCTGTCCATGGAAAGTGACTTGGAGGAGCGCCATCCCGAAGCCAAGCTCCCCCATGAGCTCTCCTGGGGCCAGCGCAAGCAGCTCTACTATGACACGGACTATGGGAGTGATGCCCAGGCCAAAGGCAAGCGGAGCCAGCAAGAAATCGATGCTGAGGAGGAGGAAGAGGAGCAGGAGGCTCAAGTCATCCAGAGACGGTTGGTGCGGGATTTGGGGGAGGATGATTATGGTTTGGACATGATCCAGGGCTACCTGGCTAAGCAGCAGAAAGGCCACGATAGCAAGGGGCAGAAAATTGATAAGGATCTGCAGGCCCTTTCCAAGAAGGAGCAGCTGAAGCTGCTGAAGCAGGAGTCCCCAGAACTCCTGCAGCTGATGGAGGACTTTGAGGTGAAGCTCATGGAGATCAAGGATGAGCTGCACCCACTGCTGCAAATGGTCAGAGATGGCACTATCCCCCAGGGGAAGGGCAGTCGCTATTTGCAGACCAAGT